AAATTATTGCCCTGTCATATGTTTCGACATCACAAGTACTTAAATACACATGGAGTAAAAGTAATTTGTAACATGTTTAAACTTAACACAATGCTTTAGACATCAGGGACAGCAACTAGGTTAACATATGGCTTTCCAAGAGAGAGTACTCAAGTAAAAGTTTAACAGAATAAGGGCCCAATTAAGATATTCGCCACGTGAATAGTGCAAAACAATGGGAAGGATAGTTTACGTAAAGTGGTAACTTCATGGACCAAGACTCATACTGTGAGGGGATGCATGAAATCTTATATATTCGCTCCAAGTATCTTGCTGTCTAAGAAAATTAGAGAGGTAAAATACTCAAGTTTATTGAGAAAACACCGTAGCTTCTTGTTATTGTACTGGGATTAAGAGAGTTTTTTCACGCATTCACATGTATTGCCCCCTTTCAGGGAGATTAAATGAAGTGAGTGCTTGTGTGACACGAGGAACTGGGTTGAGGGAGGGAGGGATGCAACGATTGATTAGTTTATTAAAATTAAATCCTTATATACTTTTTCCCAATTCCACAAGACATCATAAGCATTATTTATCCATCTACAAGTGCCCTGATCCACCTTATCAAGGAAAAGAAAAAGGTTGATTCCTTAATACACAAATAGGTTGGAATTTCAAAGAAAAGAGCAATGACATACAACAACCTCCCTACAAAAACTCAATACAAGAGAATGGGGGCGCTTGTGAGAGAGAGATAACGAGCTCAACATGTATTGTATTTTGGTGGTTGTTGGTATTGTAGAGGTAATTTTGTTTCAAACTTTTGCAATGGGTGTAGTACTCCCACATTCATAAATTCATATAATTCTCTATCTCACCTCCTTGTAATTATACAGGAAAGGTCTTGTCTTAATTTTGCTATCAATAGACAGGATAGGTTTTTCTTTTTCTTTTTTTTTTAAAGAAAAGAAAAGAAGAAGAAAAAGGAAAGATCAACCCCCCTTTCCATCTTTACCAAGGTAACATCCTTTTCCATTTATGTAAACATTGCTCCTCAAAGTAAAGTGTTGATGTACACTTCACAAAGATAAAAGCACTCGACTATGTAACAGAGCCCATAGATTTACTACCAGGTACACTGCTGTTCGTATCTACGATTCTACAATCATCCATCAAAAAGTTAAAAATGTAACTCTTCCATGCAGTACACATAATGCATATATCAATTAAACACCAATTACTCCCTTGTACACTATGCCCAAGTTTGAGCCTCATTTTTTGAGAATAGATTTTGTTAAAAGTGACATTTTTTGGAGAATGTGAGGTTAAAAAGTAAGAAAAAGTTCTGGGTTTACATGAAAGATTATTTTATTAGGAAAAAGTGTGGTTGAAAATGAGTTAGGGGAAAAATGAGTTCAAAAGAATGGGGATCAAACAAAGGCTATATTGGACACCATGCTGGATTTTCTCTCGTGGCACTGAAATTTCAAGCATATATAGTTGTGATCCACCACCTTCCCATCTTTAGTTGCTCTTATTTGAACTTCAACCTCATCTATTTCCTGGGATGCTTCATAAACATAAAATGTCAAAAAAATTGTATAATGATTTAAGATTGAGAACACTCATTGCTTATTCAAAATAAAATGCTAACATTCACAAGTATCCTCTATAGTTCTGCTTCCACTAGATCTTTTTTGGGGGACAAGGAGGGTTGTCATTATTTTCATCTTTCCCATGTGCAGTTGTTGTCGAAGGTATTTCATATACCATTTTTTTTTTCAAAAAAGAATAAAATAAAAAAATCAATTTGTAAAGCCAGTGCCAATTATAAAAATTCTTGAATCATCTCGTTGTTAAAGAGGAGGCTACAAAAAGATGAGATCTTTCCATACTCCTATATTTTTTCATTCAATGCGTATTAAAAGATTTTTAGAAGACAATAATCAAGGTAGAATTCATTGTTTAAGCCCAGAAAAGAATAGCAAAAACAAAGATTTGAATAATGAATTTTTGGCGAATATGGGGTTAAAAAGTAGGAAAAGTTTTGAATTTACGTGTAGAATATTTTATTGTGTGAACTTGTGAAAATGGGTACATAGAATAAAGAGTTTTGAAATAATGGTTGTCAAACATGGCTTAATATTAGAAATGTGAAAGTAGGGTTGATACACTCAACCTCAAAAGGGCCACTCCCTTAAGAAAATAGAGATATATATGCTGTGCTACTAGTGTTTTCTATGCCTATTATTTGACAAATGATAAGAATGGATAATAAAGTATCTCTATTTTCATTTGCTGTAACTGTACATATATAGATATTCAAACAGTAAGAAAATCATTAAAGCTAACAAGCTTGTATTGCTGCAAAAAAATATTTGATGTTAATCACACAAGGCCTTCACTGGTAAATTTTTAAGAAGCAGGTCATTGTAAACAAGGACACCTTACCTGGATTTGGAAAGAACCTTCTGCGATCCTTAGGGCAAGCGACAAAGAGGGCATTTTGAGGGTTGAAGATTGCTTGACATACCAAGAAGAACCACTCCCTTAGAACACCCGGGCCTGTGGCCTCCTCATTCTTGAACTCCATAAATAAACCAGCACGCAAACATTGTGGGTCCGCATGTGCAATGTACTCAAATGATTCTGCCAACAACTGAGAACGATCAATGAGCATCTCGTGCAGCGCTTCATAGTCGTCCTTTGCCTCAGGTAGCATCATCATCACTAAAAGACTCCTCACCTCAAAATTAGTCACTTCCTTGTGCTTAAGAATCCACTTGTGATCATCAATCCTCTTTGCAAACTTGACAGTAAGATAACACAAGGCATCCTTCCTCTGCCTCATTTTGTCCCAAAACAACTCCTCTGCACCTGCATAAAGTTTTGAAATACTGTTAAGTTCCTTTAAAATCGTTAGATACTGACACCATCCAAAGAAAAGGGTCTCGTTATCTGAGCTCGCTCGCATCTCCAGGTGCTCATCAATTTTCCCCAAACAGTCCACCATTTTTCCTAATAAATTATTGAAAATCCCATGCAAATGAGTAATCTCCTCCCCATCAGGCACTGGCAGACAACAATTCTCTCCCAGAGGAAATCTGATTGGGCCACACGATACAACATGCTCCTCGATCTTCTTCCTCGCTGCAACCACAAAGGCAGTGAAATCCTGTACTTCATTCAATGATGGCCCCAGACATGAGCTTGTGTCCATGCTTAACGCTAGATTGTGCGATAACTTCGCTGCTAATTCCCCAACAAACCGAAAAATATCACAAATCCCTATCATCTCCTTGTGTTCTCCAATCTCACACTCAACCATTGTCCCCAAACTACTCCGGCACAAAGTATATAATGGATCATCAGTCCCCGCCGCCCCATTTAGCAACTTACAGAATTCCAAAACTATAGGGGCACAAAGATAATGTGTACTCTTAGGCAAAACATGCTTAATCGAACTAACAAACTGTCTAATGGCATCATCTGCTACATCCCTATTGGGTTTATGAGAGGACATATAGAGCATTACCAGAGCAGCAGGGGCAGAGGAAGAAATGAAAATTTGCAAATGGCTGGATGATTGATTAGAATCCGTACGCGGAGTCGTGGAGAGGAACTCCAGAAGCATCGATTTGACGGTTTTTGAGGGAACCAAATTGGGTGGCTTAGCGTGGAAGTTCTTGTAGAGGTAGAAAACCATGGAAACCACGTCGTCCATGAGCTGCCAGGCCTGGGGGTGCTCGGTACTCCTCATGCGGCCTACTAAATGTAACCCAGCATCGTTCTGGACATCACACTCAGCCAGAGTATTCTCCCACTGCAACTGTTTTCCCCGGTAAATCAACCGCTGCTCGATCACCGGAATCCCGGTGATCCTCTGAATTTTCTCATGGATCGTTTTGATGGTGTCGGTGCAGTGGGCTTGAACGACAAGGGTTCTCTCCGAGAGCATACGGACAAAGAATTGGAGGCGAGCAGGGGAGCTGGTTGACTCAGCGAGTGATGATCGGGGCCGGAACGAGACGGGTGAATTGGAGGAAGAAGGGAGGGCTGTTTGGTCCTTTCTCATCCTGGTGGCGTCAGGACAATGGATTAAGGATAATAATTCATCTACGTAGTCTTCAAGTTTGCGTTTGGAGTGAGTTGACGACATTTGTGAGGGAGGGAGGGCAGGGTTTTCACGGTGGGACTAAGCCCATGGAATTAATTGAGCAAAACCCTATTCGCTTATACCTCAGACTGTTTACTCTGTGCGTAATTTGGGGGAGAGAGAAATTGGAGAAGACGACCGATTATACGTACACGTAAGAGCATCACATAGTGTAAATCAGTAAATGTGAAAGTGGAAGGATAGTCATAGCGCGAGGGGGAGGCCCTGCTGGCACCTGGCAAGCAAAGGGAAATTTGCACATCAAGTCACCATTTGATTTTTTTAAGACTTTTAAGTATTCATAGTTTTCAAAATTGGCATATAGGTCCTCACTTGGATGGAAACTGTTTTTAACTTTTCTATTCAAAGGTACATGCATGCACGATCTCAACTCTGTTCGTAAAACGCTCTGTTCATCGGTTCGTCGCTAAAGACTAACTGTCAGTGTGACAAATGATGCACCTATGTGGCAATAACGAAAATATAAATTTTATATAGTCCATTTTGGTGTAGATTTAAATTAGATTTTTAGTAGATTTTGATAAAAAGTGATGAATATGAAGTTAAAAAGTTTTGGTTCCTATAAAATGTGTTGTTATAATTAATTGTTGACTTTGAATTTTGATTAAAATCTGATTTTAATATATACCAAATAAGGGCAAAGTCTTATACACGAAAGGTACATGAACTTAACAGCTTCTTCCAAAATCATACTTGAACTCGATTTTGTTTCAAAACAATCCTCATAATTCTTGTTAATGATTACCTAAGGCTTTTATCTTTAATTGCTATTTATTTAGAGTCTGTTTGATCCTCATTTTTGTTATAGAATGCATTTTAGAATAGTAGATTTATAAAGAATGTATAATTAAAAATGAAAGAAAAGTTTTTTGATTGCTTGTAATATTATTTTATTGAAAAATGTGTAATTGAAAATAAAATAGAGAAAAAAGTGTTTTAGAAAAAATATATTTTGTGGTATACACCAGTACCCAATAATGTGGCTCACAGGCTTACGCGACTCGTGGTTCGACCCCAAAAAAGCTTGAGTCGGGCCGACTCGTGTCTCGGGCTGAGCCCCATTTTGGGGCGTCGACTCGAGCCCGAGGCAGCCCGTCATTTTCGACCGTAACGAGTCGAGACAAGCCTAAAAAAAAACTAATTTGCAAAACTTAAAAAAAATAAAAATAAATAATGATGTAGCTAAAATTACATTGGCCTAGCAGCTAGTTTTACTGTTCCAAAAAAAAAAAAAAAAACCTGAAAGCTCGGGTCGAGACTAAATTTAAAGCTCAACTCGAACCAAAAAAATCCGAACCATTTTTACTTGAGCAGAGCCCGAGCTTTGAAGTTCGGCTTGTGGCAATGTGGCTCGACTAGGTTCGTTGACACCCCTAATATTACCCTTCATTTCCCTCTCTTTCTTCACACATTCTTACTGGACCAACTTCCCCCACCCAGTGGCTCAAGTGTGGGCTTATAACGAAGGTTCATCTGCAATCACACCCAAAAATCAACATACATTGCAATGATTTAAAGAAAGGCAGAATTACGAGCTCTAATGAAATAAAATACGGATCAGAAGAAATCCCCCAGTTTCCCACTTTTTCTATCACACTCTTCACTCCACCGAGTACACGCAGTTAAAAATGAAACCTTTGCACTTGAAAACTCCACTGATCAATTATCAACAAAACTAGTAAATGAAAGGGATGAACAAATTAACGAACACAGATCAAACACCTACAAATCACCCCCATGATGCACAAATCACATTTAACTCCTCAATTAAACCAGTAAAGAGAAGAATTAGAGGGGCAAGTAAAAGATCGTGATTACGTCTTCAGAAAATAATNTGGGTAATTAAGTAATTCTACTTAAGGTCATTTAAGTAAACAAGAAAATTAATTAAAATTGTGGTGTAACAAGTAAATTTTGATGCGGTAATATAATTATCTTTTTTGTATTTAACCATATTATTTAAAAAAAAAATTACATAGGTGCGCCTCTTGTCACGTTGCATGTCCCATTAGTTATGATGACGACGGATGTTCATTTGTGAACGGATGAGAAACAATTTTTTTGAGTCTGGTATTATTTTGGAACAAAGTTTTTAATTCACGCATAATTTACAAACAAGGGATAAAATTCACGTATCATTCACCTAATTAAACCCTTTTACGATATTTTCCTCAATCATGTTACAATCCAAAATGTGTTTAATTATAAGCACTCTTTGAAAAAATGTTCTCCATCCTAGCATCGGTTGATCTAGACTTGACCCATGCCTATGGCATACGTCCATTATGCACTCCTCGTTCATTCACAGGCAAATATCGACTACTCTTTCTGGTATTTGATTGTCACAATCAAAGCCTAGCACCATCACTGTCTTTTTTTTCTCTCTCTTTTCACCAAAAACCATTTTACGTGTTCAACTTGCAACATCCTCTCGTACCCTGCTGTGCCGATAGTTTTTCCCCCTTCGATATTAGGCAATATTTATTTGATAATCCCTTTAAGAATTCAACGGAGTAATATCTACAGTTCTTTTCTCATGTAATACCATCTTTTTTCATATTCTTTCGTCATTCTCATTTTATGCCGATGGACAATGTTCGCTACTTAATTAAGAATCGTTTTAAATACATATAAAAATGAGTAGTGAATAATTGAACTTCAGAAAATTCATGGATAAAATATAAGTGTGACTGCTTGTTTGTAACTCGTCAGGAGCGTGAAAAAAAATGAGAAAACTGTCTGTGTCCAGAGACGGGTCCGTGGTAGACCTGTCTTACCCAACCTGCTCATCCTTTCATGCGGATAGAGGGGACTTTAGCCGGTGAATGGGCACGAGATTCTCCCTCCCCAGCTGTCGTTTTTTTGTGAACTTTCCTCCCCACTCTCTCTTTCTTTTTCCTGTTTCCATCCTCCTTTTGATCTTTTCAGCGTTGAAGGTTGCAAATGAAAGTCAAAATAACGAATAAGACTGGACCCATCCAATTTGAACACAAAATGGTATTTACTAATACAAACTACTTTACACAGAAGATATCAATTCTCAATTTGAAAATAAAAATTAAGCTCCCTATTTGATCGGAATTAAAATTAGATTATTAGTAGATTGTGATTAAAAAAATGATAAAATGTATGATTGAAAAGTTACGGATCTCATGAAATATGTAGTTAAAAATAATTGTTGACTTTAATTTAGATTAAAATCTGGATTTTAATTTCTATCAAACAAAGGTTAGCAATCCAGTGACAATGCTTAAGCACCAATACAACGTTCCAAGGGAACAATAGAAGACAACATAAGCAAGCAATTAACATAGTCATACAAGTATATTGGCGAATTGCAACTGTTTCAACAGTGATAACAAGTTATGTACCATGTTTCAAGAGTGATAACATGTTAGGTACTATTTTTGATGCCAAACAAGACAGTCCAGAAAGAAGGTATGCTAACGCCAGATAGGTGATATACGTCCTTTTCTCAGCTCATATTCCATCCTACGAGTTCTCAGTAACACTTACCATCACTAGTAGTCCAATCCTCAGACCCTAGGAATGGCAAAACTGTCCTTTTCTGCTGCTCGGCTGAGCCACAAGACAGCTAGGTATGTCACTTGGTTGCCATGTCAACGTTCCCCAAAGAAACTATAAGCGACCGGTGTCCACTCTCCCAGCTCAATCCACTGATGGTGGCTCTCCAAAACTTGCTGGCCCGGGAACCATCTACATCCTTGACAGAATAATCGAGTGAGCTTTTCCATTTACTGATTTTTTAGCATCCTGATATTAAAATGCCCAGATTTTTAAATCCTTGATGAAAGGTTGCTAATGTGAGAAAGAGGATGTACAGAAAAACTGTCCAGATACTACACACGATAACCTGCAATGCAAATCAATTGCAATAGAAGGTTACAGGATTTGTGGCAATTTCTCTGAAAAAGGTTTCTTCAACTGTAAAACATTATCATATTAAAGAATTGTACACTGACTTAATGAGGGCTAATGAATTGAGATCTAGTGTATTGACTCTCCTGTCTTCGATAGCCAAAACAAATAGGGACGGTGTTCCAAGTCCTCAAAGCCAAAAATGTCTCTGTCTAACCCACTTAGAAGAGCTATCAGATAGAGTGTACATAAACTTGAGCAAATAGTCATTGTGATTTCAAGTGGACAAACTGTAGTTTGTTGATTTTAAGGTGAAAAAGGATAAAAATAATATTTTTCCTGCACAAGCACTCGTACATAAATGAATTTGCTTTAACCCAAGAATTAGAAATCCACCCGATGATCCTTGTGCTCTCTGGTACAATTGTTATTACAAGCCATACTGGAAAGGCCTTTCTGTCAAACTCCATAGGAAGGGAAACAAATAATTACATGAGTGTCCGCAATGGTTTAGTTTCTTATCTCACACTAGTCACCACTTCATAACCCTACAGTACCATAGCCCTTGTAAATCAGTTAATGAACTGCGGAACGAAAAGCTAAACAAAAACAAGCCCAGCATGCAATTTGAATGATTGACCTACCTTTTTCACCCATTCTGTGTCTTCCCTTCTTTCTTTTTCATTTTTGTTCACAGCACCAATTTGAATCCCTCTGAGAGGAAATCATCCCTGAAAGCAGAAGAAAGGCGAGGAAAATTTTTCATATCAAGTTCAGTGATATGAAGGCAGACGTAAGAAGGATAGGAACTTAGTCAGATTTCTTTGATCACACAAACCATATTGGTCAATTAAATCAAGAACTATGGAAAAAAACTAAACAAACAAAACCAATCTGCAATTTGAAATGAAATGATACTTGTTTTCATAATTAGAACCATATGAAAAGTCAGTAAATACCTGCGGGTGATTAGAAACCAAAAAAAAAAAAAATCATAGTTGACTGAATAACTATTATGCAAGTTAACTGAAGACAAGATAGAAATGCATATAATATATCAAATGATGGCAAGTCTTTACTTACCTTATGTCCCTGATCTTTTTCTTCCTCTTCTCTTGTCCCAGTTTCTTGATCCCATCAGTTCCATCAGATCCATCTAGGGGAATGAGGCTTTCAACACAGACCTCAGCATAGAACACAAAAGGTAAACCCCTAACGGCAACATTTTCAATAGTTTTAGTTCTCAAATCGTACCAAACAAGTCTTTTATCATCACAGTTCAAAAGAACCCTATTATCATCCTCCGAATACACCAAAGGCCTAACAATATCGTTGCGCTCAATCTCTGGCACGCCAATTGATATAAATTTAGTCCAGGATTCACTTACTCCATATTCCTTCATCATCCATATCTTGACCCGAGACTTGTTAGAACACACTACACAAAGACATCCTCCTATAACATCCAACCTCATATCAAGATCTTTAATCAGCATACCAGGTGGAAGCGGTATATTATAATGGGTCTCAGTTTCAACACTAAAAGCCATAATTCTAACCGATCTGTTCAAATACATATAGTCAGAATCCTCCACCAGTGTATGCAATGCACCATTGATATGCACACGCCACTTTCCCTTCAGAAAGGGGAGTGGATAAGGGAAATCCTCAACCCTTTTCCACAAATTTGATTTCAGGCTATAAACTTTGGTCTCAGAACCTATCCACTCATGGCTAATTTCATTTCTAAATTCGACAACCCTAACAACCTTATAATCGTCATTCCTCGAGTCATAGCCAAATCCGTAAGTAGTCTTTGAATAACTGTGCAACTCACTAGGGTAATCGACAGCAGACTCCGGTAAAACCCGGTGATTTCTTGAAAACGGATTCCACACTACAGGTGGCTCACTCATCACAAGAAGCAATCCATTGCAAGAGTTTGAGATGCTATCGACACTCTTATAATAAAACGGGGGTTTGATCGCAAGGGCTTTGTCAAGTAAATCCAAATCTACGCAATAAAGACCCAGGCCTCCAAGAATCAGATTTTGATTGGAATTCCTGGTTGTTGATTTTTGCAGGTGCATCTTGACGAAATCTTGGCTGTCAATTATAGAGCACCATAGTTTTGCTACGCACCTGAATCGCTTTAGGGGTTTCACAGGCAGGCGGCAGAGGATGTCCACGATGAGATCTACAGGCAGAATCGCCATCTTCAGTGGCTTCGATTTTAGGGCTCCAAGTTATAGTGCTCAATACTGAAGTAAAAATCACGATTCACGCGCAAATAATATACCACGATATTTGGGCCCGTCTTTTTCGTTAAAATGAATTCTTTTTAAAGTAATGATTTCAACACGTTTCTACCACATATTTTTCAATAAAATAATAATACACGTAAATTCAATTTTTTTTTATTTTTTAATCGTACCTTCTTTTATCATAATACTGTTACAAAATACATATCGAAAAAGAAAATGGAAGTCAAATGAGCACTTGAAAATGTGACTTTACCTACTTGGGTGATTAAAATTTAAAACTCAGTTATCATTTATAGGGACGGCGCGGCAGGCTGGTGGAACCGTGGAAGTCTCATCGTGGAGAGGATTAGCGGTGGGAAAATAGGGCATGTGGCATTGGATTTCGTTTGTGTTTCATCTTATTAGATGTGTTTGAACCACATTATTTTGGAATAATATATTTTAAAATAGTAATGTGTGATTAAAAAAAAAGGAAAAATTATTGATCTAATGAAAAATATTATTTTATTGAAAAATGTGTGATTTAAAATGAGTAGAAAAATAAGAATGAAAATTTTAATGTGACTCGAATATGGGTTTATAATTCATTTTGAAATAATAGATTGATAAAAAGTGCGTTGTTAAAAAAAAATTTTATTTATATATAAAATTATTTTATTGAAAAATATGTAATAAAAAAGAAAAAGAGGAAATGTACTTAAAAAAAGGAAATCAAACATAAGCTCTGTGTGTAGTACACGCTTTGTCAAAGAGGTGGGTGGGATTTTAGGAGGAGAAATGCTATAGTGACAGGTAACTGACAGGAAAAAATAACAACATACACTTGGTATTTTTTCATTGACAGTTAAATAAAAATTAAAGAAAACATTGTCAATCAAAAACTGCCACTTCACTCCTTGGAAAATGCCCCTGTCATTGACCCTGTTTGTTTAGCTTTTTTTGCTTTTGGAGCATGTTGAGCCCTATTTTTTGTCAAAAATATATTTTAAAATAGTATTTTGATAGAAAATATGTGGTTAAAAAATAAGAATTTTTTTAATCTGCATATAAATATTATTTTATTGAAAAATGTGATTGAAAATAAAATAAAAAAATATTTTTTAAAAATAATGAGACCAAACAAAGACTATTTCTTTTTATTTGTGACATATTTTCGAGGGTATTCGTTGGCCCTGGTTGAACGGCGATAGAGTCAATACAAGGGCATCCCATGTGCCGCTAGAGCGATAGGGCTCATGTCACTAGCAAAACCCTATTTTCAGTCAATCTCAAACTTGAAATCATGATATATTTTACAACTATGATTAACAATTTTTGTTGACAATTATAAGTTAGCAAAATCTAAACCATTCATTTTAAAAATTGATTTTTAAATCATGAATTGTCAATAAGGGCATGTTTGGTACAAATTCTCCTTTTCTACGGTAAATCAATTCTCATTTTCAACCACACATTCTTCAATAAAATAATATTTTCCATCGCATCAATACTTTTTTTTTCTTTTTCAATCACACATTTCCCATCAAATCACTATTTAAAAATCAATTTTTCCCCAAAAAATTCTTACCAAACACACTCTAAATGTTACGAACAACTAGCTTTATTAGTCAAACTTGCTTCATTCAATTTCAGTGGGGGTGGAAACCGCGTTTTCGTAAAAGTTGAGAGGTTGGGATATTATTTCTTTATTTGTGATGTAGCTTTGTCTTCACGGTAGTTATTATTTGGCGTCGTTGATGGATAAGTTTAATAGGGAGTTTTGCACCTTTGGTACCTAATAGATTATGTAAAAAATAAGCTAGGTCTCAAACTTTAAAAATGAGCAAGTTAATTCTTAATCTTCCACTTTTTAATACTCATTCTATAAAAAAGTCATGTTATATTCGTAAAAACATTATTCACTTTAAATTTATATGCAAAGGGAGAAGTTTAACTTTCGAGAGTTACGTAATGATTTAACAATCCTTTAAACACATTTCTAATCTCAATAACAAATTTGCAGTTTTAATAGGGGGCGACATTGCAGTTTCTTATAAGTGCACTAATTTTAATTGGATTATTATATTTTCAACTTTTTTACGGGTTTAAAATTGCTATCGGATGAGAAGATGAGGATGCCCCCGAAAACTCCAAATTCTTGGGAGGACATCCGTCTTATCCAAGAGAAATAGCAACTCGTATACTTATCCTCAATATTTCATTAATTAACAAGTCTTGTCTCCTAAAATGTAGTTTCTACCCAAATATTCTATTAAGATTGTGTAAAAGACTTATTTCCCCCGTGTAAACTTAAAAGGCAAAAAATAATAAATACAAAAGTACAACTAACTATATCGCCCCTATTTCTTAAGCATGTTAACCGATGTTTTGGATGAGAACCGTCATTGGAGACAACGTGTACTATTTAATGAAAAATTGGGAATAAGAATACGATGGAGTAAGAAGGTAGAGGATATAAGTGTAATAATAGTAAAGAATGTGGACCCTTAGTGTAATCAGAATGTTGGAGACAGATTTTCCAACTTGCTAAAGAGGTAATATGGGGGAAAGGTGCAAAAAAAAAATTTCCAAAATGAAAAATAAAATGTAGGAAAATGTTTGTTGTGTGTGTATATATATATATAATTTTTTATTGATTGATAAGGTATCAAAAGAAAATGGGGGAGTTTTTTTTTTTTTTTTTTTTCAATTGTGCTTCATATATATATATATATTTTTTCAATTATGTTACATNTTAATTTGGTTGATGAGATTTTGATCCAATCAAATCTCTTCCGTCATCTGTTGATAAACAAATATATAAATTGTGATGTACATGTAGCCCAACGATAAAATGTAAACGCGGAGGAATTGATTCATTTCACATGAATAATGGATTTTCCTTTATTAAAGGCAAACAAATCTCGGAGACTTAAAATTTTCTTTTCCAGATTCTCTCAACTTTATTTCTGTATTGCTTTTTAATTTAGAAAATAGACATAATGAAAAAAATAATAACTTAGCATTAAATAAATTACTAAATAATTTCTTATAAATAAAAGCTCACATTGATTAGCATTTATATTAAACCCATTTATATAGAATGATTCTGTTTTTCACACAGGTTAATAAATCTTATTTAATGTTATTGAAACAGAAATTTTTGTCAAAAACTTTCCTAATTTACCCTTATTTAATTATCAACAATTAGTAGTAAATTATTGTTGAAAGTAGTAAAGAAATGAGGGTATATTAGTAAATGAATCAAACAAAGACTATAAATTAAAAAAAGTCAATCTATTGCGTAGGTAGCAAGACTACACAGAAATATGTTGGGAACATATTTTGACACCTCCAATAATTTAAGGACCAACTTGACAGGTCTCACATTGGAAGAACGTGATGCTTGTTTACCGTGGAAATGGTCCAAAGTACTTTTCCGCGTAAATTGATAACAAATAAAGAATTAACAAAGAATTTGATAACACGGAAACACTTTTCTTCAACAAAAAGTTAAAAAAAAATTAAATTAAGATGGAAATATTGATAGACTTGATAGAAGTGAGAAAATAATAGATCGTCACGTGTTAGATAGATTTGACTTGCCCCAACGTGAAATATGAAATAAAATTATCAGTTATCACATTCACAATTTCCACGTTACAAAAATATCTTGAAGTGGGATTTCCTCAATCCAATTGAAGGGATTTTGTAATGACTAATATAAAAAAGTTATCTAATATTCTTGCATTCCTCAAATCAACTTTTCTATCTAATTAAGATGGATATTAAATCTAATCTCACCATTTTTCCTCACTCGGTCTTCATTGGTTGCCTTAGTTCTTATTGGCCCCACTGTCGCCGCCGCCACCATCACGACGACTGCATTTGGTGAGCAGGAGAATGGTTTTGGTAGATTCGAAATACTGGATGAAAAAGACCCTAACATGGTGGAAATTGGCCAGTTTGTCATTGATGAACACAAGAAGTTGGATAATGCCACTTTGCAATTTCAAAGTGTCGTCAAGGCTTTACGTGCCATCTTGAAATACATTCTCGTCATCCAAGCAGAGGATGGGACGACTTCCAAGAAGTACAGGGTCATAGTCGAGGAACAAGGGACCCAAAAGACTCTCAATGACTTTGAGGAAACATAGGAGTTAAGGGTAAAAGTGAGGGTATGATAAAGAGACGGAACTTGTCTAATGTATTCTTTTGTTCTAAGAAACGCAATAAAATTTCAATAAATGCACAGTATCTAACAAAAATCTCTTTTGAGCTTCACTTCAAAGGAAACCAAAGTGTTGCTAGGAACCCACAAACTTTAAACAGACGGGCAGAAAATTCCTTTGAAGTGATATTAACCTTGATAAGGGAAAAAAGTTGTTTTGATACAACATAGAGAATCAAGACTAACTCTGGCCAGTTAGCCTACAAAATACCCAATCAATAATACCAGAAGACTGTTTCCAAAGAATTTACTGAAAAAACAATATTGGTAACAAATTCTAGTATAAAAATTTATTAAACAGTTTGACTATTTAGCATGAAAAGTAACTTATAATTGAAGAGTTAATCGAACAATTTCGTATTAATAAAATGCCCCTCTATTAACTAACGTTGATAATGTTGAATAATGTGTTAGTGATCTTACTTACTAATAGCATCAAAGCAACCGAGCTCGGCTTCTGAGCCTCATTCTTTGTTCCCCTATTTTTTTTTTTTTAATTTAATTGAATATAAGGGTAAATTAATAATTTCGGTCACTCTAATACCTAGTTGCTACAAACTTGAAAAGTTAAAAGTCAAAAAACACAGGTTGAGGCCAAACTTTCTAGATCATGGATAGGTTAAGCAGCAAATTGTTACTTCAGAAATTGATACCAACAATGCATAAAAGAATAAGGATGAAAAATGGAATTTGTTGCTTGAGAAAAGGAGGTGTTGCTTACTTTGTAAGTGACCCATGAGGCTCCAATAATAGCCTAGTTACATAGCAGCTGCATATCTAAAATTTGGTTCTCAGAGTACAAACGATTTTGTGTATCAGTGGAACTCCTGCATGCGAGCTGTAATGATAAACAAAAAGAATAAACATATATAATCGGCTTGAAAAATGTAGCAACCTACAGAACTTTCACAATTATTGATTCCATATTTATCTCAATGAATTTTATTTTCTCATAATTGGGAACCTAACTGGGTTGGGGATCTAGCAAACTGAGAGGAGGCTCTGGTAATGCTATCATGAAGCATTGTGATCCCAAATTTTTAATATTTAATTCATTTATTCTAAAAAAAAATGGCATGCAATAAATATAAAATTATATAACGTTAGTTTACTCACTGCAAGGATTTTTCTACGCCATATCTTATTCATTTCGTAATTAAATAAATATTTCAAATATCATAATACGAAATTTTTGGTTCCACCAATATTAAAGAAGCATATGGAAAAAAAAAAACCAATTAAAACATGTTCCAAACCCTAAATAACAAATCCGTGTAATAATAAAACTAAAGCAAATACTGAAAATAAAATCTATAGTCACGTTACACCGGATTTAATTTATTAAGTCCAATGAATCCTAGCACAATGATCGCACCTCATCGATCGCCACCCAACGACCCGTTCTAATATGTGAGAAGTAGGGAAAATTGTGAGTATATGAGAATACTCAGTAGGATACGAATATTTTGTGCAATCACGAATAAAAATATTCAATCGTGCATAAAAAAATATCATACTGTCATATCATATCTTTCGAAATCGATAAGAGCTCAATAAATATCATATTTTTTGTACCAAATGGCCATAATATACATATCATATCATATCATATCATATCATATCATCTCATAACATAATTTTCATTAGCATAATATTTATCAACATGAAGAAATAAATTAAACGGGACAAACCACTTGCACCTCGTAATCCTACCTCATTAGATCAAATAACTTTTTTGCGAGATAAAATCCAAAAGAGTAATGCTATGTAACCACACTAGATTTACAATCACAGTTTAGATGACTCTAAATGATAGACTAAATGAAATGTAAAATTAGATGACTTATTTAATTTCATATATTATTTAATACCACATTAACATTACTCAATCCAAAAATCACGTTCCAAACTTTATTTTTCTGCCACAGCTTTTGTATCTTGTATATGCCTATGTACTTTTATTTTTGTTTTTGTTTGTACCATTCACCATACATACATACATACATATAGACAATAATGATATAGTCTAATAGAGTTTGTTTGTGTTTAGAAGTGGGAACCATGTACTACAAGAGATTAGATAAGAATGCTCTACTTGAAATTTCAGCATCTTATAAAGGCTCTACTTGCGGGATCAAAGTACATTCTCATCGTCCAGGCAGGGGTCCAAGAAGAATGCTGCCATTGTTGGAACCAAGGATCTCAAAAGACTCCGGATGACTTTCTTGAAGTTTTGGAGTTGAAGATGAGTGTATAATAGAGATACTGTCATTGTTTGGTGTTTTCTATGCAATATGTCCTAAATAAATTAGAAGGAGAAAATCAGAATATTTCAAATAATGAAATGAAAGGAATTCTTGGAATTCAAAGTGCTAGAAACTGTTTCGTTCGGAGGGAAAAAAAAAAAAATCAAATCCTGTATTTCAGATTTGCTTTGAGGTGAACAGAACCAAGAAGTTCATTTACACGTTGGGAGTATGTGTTTTAATTTTTGTTGGGCAACTTATGAAAATTGAATTCCACCATTATTAGTTTAAGGGTTTCCCTACCAGCACACATCACAAAACAAGCTTTTTTCTGCTAAATCACAATTACAAAATAATCAACTAAATCATTCCAAAACTTGAACGAGTTCAAGTTTATATGAACTCCTGGCAAAGTTGATGTCTAATGTCCACATGATGTGGACCACATCTATGAAATAAACCAAACTAATTTTCTCGAGATAGAAAACATAAAATAAAATTGATCACCGGTCTCTTTCCGCAATAAACCAAATCAAAAAATCTAGAGAGAACAATCAAGAAACAGTGATTGAAGGAGCAAGTAAAAAACACGTCCAAGTCATGTCTGGATTTAAAAAATATAGAAAAAGAGGATCTCCCTCGTAGGAAACACGTTACCCAGACATGTCAGTTTCCAAACCCCCTTTTCTTGCCTATGCATGTAGCTTTTTCTTAAGTGACCACTAAAAAATTAGGTCAGGACGCTTTATTTTGTCCATCACATTAGAATACAACTGAAAAAGGGAACATTGTATGAAGACAACAGAAATAAATTCTACGAACATGGAGCAACGACAAGACTTTGGATGCGATCAACAATTTGCTAGACATCATAAACAAAATAGGAGAAGGAAAATCTCAACTGGTTGAAAACTTGTTCTAATGGCAGCAAGATCCTACTATCCTAGTCTGCCTACACCATAAATTGACTTTCCCCAATAGTAAGACATGCTCTTAGAGGAAGTTGATTGCTAATGAGGGCACAATATTTTTCTATGTTAATCTTCCGAAGTAAGCCAAAAACAACAGTCAGAAGAAGCTGGAGAAAGGGGTTCAGGGAAGGAAGCCTAAATTCTACAATGAGCTTAGATCTCCCTTAAAAATCACAACAAAGGAAACAAACACGTCACTAGGAATTTCAAAGCATAGCGTTAGTTTCAGTAATCTGTGCATTAAATTCAAACAACCTCTCTCGTCACAAAACGACTTCAGACACAAGAGGATGCAACTGCATTTTCAGATCAAAGGGTATGGCGGCAGATAAAAAATTCACATAGCCATAACAACACAGCAGAAAGACACATTAAAGAACGTGTTTTTGGAGCTAACAGTTGCCACAGATATATGAGAAAGATATGAGTCCTTGACTGCATAAGGAGAAAGTTAGCCTTTGAACCACTCTAATTATCAATATCCAGTTGAGGAAAGTGAAGCCAGTTTTATTTGACTGTTCCCATTAATATAACTTAACAGATAGATAGTGTCATAATCTCATCAAACATATCATTCTACTAATTGAAAACTTCAAAATTAAAAATATATCAAATGACGTGGAGAAAGGACAAAGTTTCTAGAACCCAAAAAAGCCTTGGCAGAAGAAATGAGTCTACAGCTTTTCTACACCGACTTCCACATGTTATTTGTTCAGAGTCAATTTGAATCCAGCTGAGAGAAAATCATCCCTGAAGAGAAAAATGATCACTGGTTAAACTATTAGGTTAAAGACGAACATGTCATCTTCCATCTAAAGCATATAATAACTCTAAACTAGATTTGTTGGACCAAGCAAGAAAATCCAAATCATACACCACATACCAGCAATTTAATGAAATAGTGATGGAACTGACAAATAGTAAAGACACATACTAGATTGATATATATTTGCCATTACCTCTTCTTTCCAATATTGTTTTCCTTGTTTTTCTCGTCCTTTTTCTTTTTCAGTCAAGTCAATTTCACCAGAGCCATTGAGTGATACAAGGCTTCCGACAAAAAGCTCAGAATGAAATGAGGGACCAAGAGAATCCAGAGCATAAAAAGATTGATGAAAACCACGAATAGATTTAATCTTACTAGCTTTCTGTCTTTTCAAGTCGTACCAAATAAGGCATCTACCATCATAATCCAAGAGAACCTTATCACCACTTTCTGAATAAGCTAAGGGGCACAAACCCGTGTAAAGCACAGAGACTGGTGGGACGAAGGACAGCAATTTAGTCCAAGACTCCTTCACTCCATATTCCTTCATCACCCAAATCTCGCTTGTAGTCATCTCTCGAGGAACGAGTGCAGTGAGACACCCGCCCATTGCATCAACCGAAGATACTCCGATATTTTCACCAGTCAGGTCCATTTCTGGTACCTCATGAAGCTCTGCGGTGCCAACATCAAATGCTATAATAGATTGACTAGAACCATAGTGTGGACATTTTTGAACAACCGTATGCAAAGCACCATTGACGTGTACACCCCATACCCTTTTATTGTTAGGCAGAATGTAGGGAAAATCCCCAACTCTTGTCCACAAATTCGATTTTAAGCTATAAACCTTAGTTTCGGAAAACAAGTACCTGTCATTGGCCTCCCGAATCTCGGCCACCCTAACAACCTTATAGTCATCGTTTTTAGAATCATACCCAAAACCAAATGTTTCACGCACGTACACCTCTGTTCCTTTTGGATATTCTACGGGTGTAAAAGGTAATTTCTTAACTTTCCTTGTTGAAGGATTCCACAATAAAGGCTTGTCAGAAGCCAGAAGCACTAATCCATTGCACGAGTTTAAAATGATGTGATTCTCAATTGGGAATGATCCAATGTCTACGCGGTTCAATGAATCTAAACTTAAGCAAAAATGATCATCCAATCCGTCAACAATGAGACTGCAATTGGAGCTAGTTTTCCCGGCGTGATTCAAATGCAGTTTTATGAAATATTTACTGTCTATTAAAGAGCACCATGGCTTCGCAACGCACCTTAAACGCAAGAGGAATTTGACACGCATCCAAGAGAGAATCTCCGCTATGATCTCTCGTGGTAGTTTTTCCATGTTGAAGGATGATGGGGTTAGGGCTTTGTTAAAGGGAATTTGTTGATTTGGCTGCAGTACAAATGCAGAGGAAACCCAAACGTACTCGGAAACTGCAGAGGACCGCTTGAAAAACGGAAAATAAATAAATAAATTTTATATTTCCTAACTTTGGTGTCAATGGCATGTTTGGAAGCACCTTTTTAAGGACAAAAGTTATTTAAGTTAAAATAATTTATGTCTGGCGAAAATCGAAAAATCGTTACATAAGTACGAATATTTTGACACGTGTTTATGAGAAGTCATAGCTTAAGCACAAGATCTCTCTCTCTCTCTCCCTCCCTCCCCCCTCTCTATACCATAAAAATTGAAAGGTGGCTCAACATTCTCAATCAATCTACTATTTTTAAATACATTCTTTCAAAATAATGTGGCTCAACAGTCACATTAATCTATATATTCTACAATCAAAGAATCTTAATTTACATAAATCTAGAATTATTATAGATGAATATATTTCTATATATGTATATAGAAATTTTTGACTTGATGAATTTTGATCTACATGAATCTAGAATATTGTAGATGAATTTATTTCTATTCATGTATTTAGAAATTTTAATGGGTATTTAAATTCAAGTATTAGCAATTAATTCTTATGTACCAAATGTAGTATAAATATGTTGTTCATTTATAATATTTCATCATCACAAAAAATTTGATTCATAGAAGTTGAGTATACATTTTTCTCTTAAATTTATATCCTAAATTTTATTTCCTTTAATTCGTTTGAAATTTATCAAATCATCTTAATAAATTGATAACAAATATTACTTTTACAGCGCTTACAAAGTATTTTAGAATAACGTGTAATTTACGTTCAACTCTGACTAATTATAACAAAATAACTCATAGTTAGGTGGGATGGGGTTGAGATTGGGATTGGTGTGGAGGTGGAAATTTGTGTGGGTAGAATGGGGACTTACAGTGGTGAGGGTAGTGTTCTGTTAGGCAGCACAGAACCAATCCATATTTAGTGTCGATTAAAAATTGATAAAATCTCAAGTTGAAATTAATAAATATTTTGATCAAGGTTTTTTATGAAATCCACGAATTTTTAACGATTTATTTCACCAATTTTACAAAAATCTATTAATATTTTTATTTTAATATACCAAACAAAGGCTTACAATAGAATTTGAGGAGACATGGGATAGACTTATTCCGACTCTTTCTGGGGGTCAAATGCCCCCCGCCCCCCATCCTTTCCTTCTTCGTCGAATAGTAGTCGCAATTCCTTCCCCTAGAGAGAGAAAGTCAATAACATGGTGCTAAGTAAGATGATAACATGCATGCATGCAAGGAAGTTAGGCAAGATATTTTATCTTGCTTTAATTATGGTGTTCTGGAATTCACTTCTCTAAACAAAGGCTTAGAATGGAATTTGAGGAGACATGGGACAGACTTTAACTTGTTTTGTTCAAAGACTTGCTTCAACTCTTTCTGAGAGTCAAACAATGGTCGCCCCCGTCCTTTCCTTCTCTCATCTAGTAGCGAGTAGTGGTCACAATTCCTTCACCTTGAAAGAGAAAGTCAATAACATTGTGCTAAGTAAAAAATTGAAAAGCATTCACCGCCACTTGTCAATTCGATAAAATATTAGGTAAAAAATTATGTACAAATAGAATTTTTCATGATTTAAAAGAGTATATTAAAATTCCTTTTACTAAGTCTTAGAGTTCGTTTGATTGTAAAGATGAAATTTGGGTGGAAAGAAAATGAATTTCATGGATTTGAATTGCCTAGAATTCATTTTATTGAGAATTGTCAATTAATTGTGTTTGATTGACATAATTTTTCACCTAAAAAATGTTGAAATTTTAGTTTTTTTTTGTATTTGTTTGGCTTTATTTTCCATGAAAATTGTCTATTAAGGCGATTTTT